CATGCATGCATGCATGCATGCATGCATGCATACATACATACATACATACATACATACATACATACATACATACATACATACATACATACATACATACATACATACATACATACATACATTCTCCAGAGTCCTAGTCTGTCACTCTATCCACTACACCATACTGGGGACCTTATGAGGATCTTCATGCATTTTAATATACCTCCAATGGCTAAAATCTTTGTCATCTGAAACATCTCTACAGGTCAACCCCAAGTTCACTGAATATAATCCTATCCAGTGCTTTGCTGGTAATCGAGGCAGAGTTATAGTTCCCAATCATTCAGATGCCTCAGAGTCTTTGGGGAGAAGTTGAGGCTGAAAAATCCAAAGGGAACACAAATCTGGAAAATTGCCCTCCAGTGATAAACAAGGCTAACTGCTGGTCAATCGTGTGCCTGACTCTGCAGACATTCCTTTCTTTACTGGGGCCAGGAAACCCAAGAATGCATTTGAAAGCCCATGTCTACTTCTTCGGCCTTACCTGGGTTAGTAGCCTTAGTAGCCCATTCTTCTTCAGAACTTCGCACATTCTTCTTGGGAGTGAGACTGTAGATATGCCTAGGCATTGAAATGCAAAATCTCTGATCGAGATCAATCAGCACATCAAACATATTTCTCAATACTGAACCCAGGGAACCTTTGCATCAAGGTGTAGCATGGAATTCACACACAATTAGCTTTATAGATTAAAATTCATAGGGGTCACATTTTTGTTACACCTTTCTTCCCCAGTGCTCAAAGCCATGAACATGGGCCTCTTCCCCATTTTTATTTTCAGAACAACCCTGTGAAGAGAGTTGGAAGTTTGGGAAAAATTACTTTTCTTACGGCACCTCTCCGTGATGGTCTAGCTGGCATGTTGGCTGGAGGATTCTGGGGCCTGTCGTTCAAACTTGGGGTGGGTTGATAGAGATTCTCAGCCTAACCAACACAGATTCTGCAAGCTATTGTTCAGTTCTCTGTTTTTTATTTCAAAACAAGCTGTGGGTAAATTACGTCGTGCATGTGATGGTCCTAAAAAGAAAAGCGAGAGAGGAAAAAAAAGATTGCCATAAGTCATAATTGGTTTGGCAGCATGTTGCTCTTATTATTGTCATGAATCTACTCTCACAATTATCAAAGGAACTGAGTGCCAATGAGGAGCCTTTCTCCTCATCATTGGAGATGGATCAGGACTACCCTAACTCATAGCCAAACTCCACCTAAAGGCCTACACCAGCCTTATTCCATCTGGAGCTAGTTGGAGGTGTTGGGAGATGTAGTTCCATATGTCTGATAGGCACTGGATTAGGAAAATCTGGCCTAGATCAATTCAAAGGGCTTAACTTTGGATGCAGATTGGATTCAGACTGACAAAACACGAGGCTGCAGGCTTGCTTATTATTTGTTTAATAAAATACTTAATGCTCCATTTTTCTTCCCATCAAATTCAAAATGGCATGCGTGGCGCTCTCCTCTTTATTTTCATAACTATAAGGAGATTGATTTGGCCTAAGGTAACGCACAAAGGGGGGGTGTATTTATTCATTCATTCATTCATTTATACCTTGCTTTCACCTTCAGAAGAACCCAAGACAGCCTACATCATTAAAAGGCAATATTAAAAACTGAAAACAGGAAGTATACAAATACTAAAAAATATCAGATATCACCAGTAAAAGACAATAAACAAAAGCAACACCAAATTGCATTCAAAGCAATAAGGCACAACCATTCATTCAAAAACCCCACTCAAGCAGCTGGTTATTAAGGGAAATCTGGCTGAAGTGAAAGGTCTTCACCTTTCAGCCAAAATGGGACCAGCCTGGCCTCCAGTGGGAGGGAGTTCCAGAGTCTGGGAGCAGGCACAGAAAAGACCCCTCTCCAGGGTCTCCACCAAACACAATGTAGTCCTTGTACACTGTCCAAAGGGAAGTGGTTTGATAGAGTACTTCTATCAGGCCATTAAAAATAAAAAAATTAAAAATCCCAAGTCTCCGACACTGTCAGCACTTCACAAAAATGGTAAGTACTGTATACAGTTTGGGTTTATTGAATGAAAATCTCTCCCCAGAGTTTGAAAACATTAAATTTATTGGCTTACAGTTCCTACATCATGGCTACAAAATTCTGGCTAGGAAGTTCTGGAAGTTGTAGGGCAAATGATACCAACCTTTAAAAAAAATGATGAAGCCATAGCCTAATTCCCACCCACCCTGTCTCTCTCTCTGCTCTTGGTAGGTATAGAGGGGTGGAGAAAAGGCTGGGTCATTTTGGGTAACAGCTCTTGCAAATTAGCCTCCGGTCACTCTTTAAATGCTGGAGGCTGGCCGTGTGAAGTGCTGTCTGAATACCCCAGTCAGCCCTGCTCCTCCCTGCTTGGAGGCAGGCCATGAGGTGAGAACCAGACACACTTTGTTTATTTGCTGAGACTGGTGTGGATTGGAAGCAGGGGACCTGCCACAACAGGCAGTCATTGATTTGAGGGAAGGCATCTGCCTTCCCGTAAAGCTCATCACAGAAAATGCCCAAGAAGTTAACATCAGTTATGAACGACAGAACATTTTTGAGTTTGTTTGCCTATAAGCGTTGGTGTACAACATTCCCATTGTGCCTTCTACCACCAGCAGCAGTGGAATGGAAAAATAGTCATATAATCTTGGGTGAAATACTGCAGTTAGAAGATAATCAATCTAACCTCCAGGTTTAGGCTTTTTTTTTAAAACCTGTGCAATAGGATGAAAAACATGTTAAGGGATATGAGTGAAGGTGGGAAACAGACAGATGAGCAGCTGGAAGGAGGCAAGTTGGAAATGGTGGGGTGGTGTAACCTTGCAAGACAGGTATGTTTTATACCTATGCCAATAGCTCATAGCGTTATGACGTTTTGGGAGAAGTAACTAACAAAATTACTTGTAATATGTTGCTTTTACAAAACACATAATTATAACTGATTTGTGGTTGTGGCTTGGAACTGTACTACTTTTCAGGAGTAACTTTCCTGGCTCTGTTCTCTGTCGACCCCAAATATTCCTAGTTGTGGGTCCAAAAGAGACAGTGGGATGCTGAGAGGAAACGTCTTGTAAGAGGCCTTTGTGGACCAGCCAAATCCTGGAAAGTGATCCTTGACGTTCACCAGGACAATTAGCTGTTTATGAGCCCGAATGATCCCCCTGCCTCTCCTCCACACGGTGCATGCAGAACGGAGGGACAGGTGTCTGATTTCTCACTTACAATGAGGGCAGCAAGACTCCCTGGGGGAAAAGCAAGGGTTTCTTCCTGGTTACACAAACATCCACTACACAAAAGAGTCCAGACATCAGATCAAAGACCAGGACCCAAATTCTCCTTCAATTTTGGAGTGGGGAGAAAGCTGGGAACGTTCACTTTTGCAACTGCAGCTCTCAGTCTACACGGTCCCTTTCCAAACTTGAGGGAGGAGAGGGAGTTAGTTTTGACCAGGGCTCTAAATAAGAAAACAAACTTCATCTATCTCTCTTTACCAGAGATTCCTAATTTTTTTTCTTACCTATCCATCTTAAACCGCTACCCATTGTGTTTCACACAAACATACATACACACATACACACACACACACACACACACACCAGGGAGGGAATTTCTTAAAATGTGGTTTGTGTGTTGTTAACATTATGATTTGTTTCCAGTGTGGTTGTACTTTAAGGAGGACTATGTGTTGGTCTGACTCTATTAAAGACAACAAGGGAGCAGAGAAGGGATGACAGAATTGAAAGAGGATAAGCCAGAATTTTGTTCTCTTCATGAAGAGCACTACAGCAGATGGCAGTGCATCTCTGTTTGTACGTAAGTCCCACTCCATGAGGCTTACTCCCAGATAAGGATAACAAAACCACAGCAAACATCCTTTGATTTCATCTTTGCACCCGATTTATTTAAAGTATCAATGACAAATCATATAATCCGAGAACATTAGGCTTCTATTGCCAGACCCTGGGGACGATTCTTCTTTGAGGGCTCGTCTTGGAAGTGGGCTCAAAATCTCATGAGAAAAGTCTTTCCGTCTCATCTCTCCTCTGCTTTTCTCCATCTCCCCTTGTGACAAATCTTATGTGGACAAGACTCCCCACCAAAATAAGCTTGATTGCCGTATGTCTTTTATGCAAGACAGGCCTCTATTTGAATCCGTTCTCTTTTTGAAGGGCTGTCCAGCCTGATTCTGATTAAAAGACAACGAGCCATAAGGAGGGACATCACAGACCTTGAAGGGCCTCGTCCACAGTTAGCAGCACCTGGACAGCAGACTCAGTAGGCCATAGCCTTCCCTACTCAAGAGAGGGAGATTCCAGCTCTATTTAAATTATTTTTAAAATGCTTTGAATTTTGCATATACATTATCTACATATAAATTAGCATAGACAGTTCTGTGTGAAATTGGTGCCCTCTTTGGGCCAGCCATCCGGTCTGTGTTCTTTTTCTTAGTGTAAGTGGTCACTCTTATCTCCAAGGGGTGAGGAGTACACTTCTTTTCTCTTAAGGATGTCACTGTGAACCTTTGTTGCAGCAGGGAAAAATCAGTTCATTGGTCTTGGGGAGCTGGTCGCCTGGCCAAGGCCCGTGTGCACCTTTGTTGCAGCAGGGAAAAATCAGTTCGTTGGTCTTGGGGAGCTGGTCGCTTGTTGGTCGCCTGGCCAAGGCCCGTGTGTGTCAGTTGCAGCCACATTCATCAATGATCATGTCCTCATGGTGACGGACCGTCACCCCGCCCTTCTCATAGTAGAGCATGGAGAGTGGGCTCAATTTGACCGGAGCACAGGCTGGGGAAGGCACCCGGTTGGGTTGGTATAACTTCAACAAGCTCTGTGAAAAGAGGAAAAGGAATTGCATTAGGGGGACAGGAGCACTAGCTGTAAGAGATGGCCTGGCCTGGCTAAGATGACGTGCAGCCCCTCTCTAACCTTCCTGCCAGGATGATGGACCCTCTCAGTAGAGCTTGGAAATGTTGCTTTTTGAGACAACTTCTTTCAGAGCCCCTCAGCCAGGAAACATTATTTTTTTACTCCAGATTCCAGAATCCCTGAGACGGGACTTCCCAGATCATCATTGGACTTCTTTTTTCCAGTATTTGTTTATTTATTTAAAATTTGTATATGCCAAAATGATGTAAGGTGGCTTATAATATAAAAAGAAACGAAGTTAAAAGCTAAATAATAAATTTTAAAAGCATCAAACAGAAACCATATTAAGACCCGTAACAGCAATATTAAAAACAGAAGTAAAACAGAAGGAAAAAATAATCCCCCCCCCAAAAAAAAACCCTGTTTGATAACCAGACTTTTAAAGGAAAGTCTGCCTGAAGAGGAATATCTTCTTCTGCTTGAAGAAGGACAGCCAAGATGGAGTCAGCTTGGCCTCCTGTAAGAGAGAACTCCAAAGTTTGGGAGAAGCAGCAGCAGGAAAGGCCGTCTCCCGTACCCCCAAAATTCACCTGTGAAGATGGTGGGACCAAGATGGGGCCTCTCTTGATTATCTTATTACATCGGGATTCGAATGCCAAAAAAAAAACAAAAAAAACTGACATTTCCAGTCTCTGAATCCGAGCAAGATATTCAGAGTTTGATCCAGGGAAGGAGCGGCCAGCCCAGTCAGAAGGACCAACCATGGAGAGAGGGGACCAGGGTTAGCCCAAGACATTTTGCTGCCTGAGATCCACCCCCCCACACACACACACACTGTCTGCATACTGAAGCAAGCAAGCTCAACATAGAACCTTATTCCACCATTGAGGATGGGAGAGTTAATGATGCTTAATGGCCCAGGATGGGCTACCCTTGCCTCTTCGTGAGAGCTTAGAGTTACAAGATGGTGTCTTGATACAGAGATCTCTGTGGAATGTTTGGAATGGAGAGATGGGGGGGGAGAGAGAGTCCTCAGGTAGTCTGCTGTGCAGGTGTGAAGTGTTGATGGGCAATTGCCCAAAGAATCCTTCCTTCTGCTGGTGTTTTATCTTTTAAATCAGATTTGGGTCTACCCAGAATTGCCCTCCGAAAAAATGGGACACATCCGGTCGGATTTCAAAAGGACATGAGAAGCATGGTGAGAGCAGGGGCTTGTTTAAGCCAGCGTTGTGTCCTGACAGCTGCAAATCAGTCACCACAGCAATTTCAGTTTGGTTTGACTGCAAATGCCCTGTGTTTTCTCCCTGTGTTTTATTCTTGCACCTGGCTTACCTGCAGTTATAATAATAGTTAAAGTTGAAAGGGGTTGTAGACAAAAAGTTACTTTCCCAAGCTCTGATTCAGCAGCATGCTGCTTTCAATCATCATGACTAATAGACATTCTCTTTCCTTGGCTTCCTCTCCAACATTTGCACCTCCCCCTTTAAAAAAAAACATTTGCTGGACAGTGTTTTGGTGCAGGTCATTCTGCTATTATTATTTTTTTTACTGCTTTGTGTGGATCCATTCTATGGTTTTGTTATTGTTCTAAATCAACTACGCTCAGACATCTACCTACTGTGAATAACAGTATAGAAGCACTTTAGATAAACAAATATTTTAGTCCTTATGTGCTGTCAAGTTACCTCTGACTTATTGTGATCTCAATAGGGTTTCAAGGTTTGTGAGATGTTCAAGGGGTGATTTATCATGGCTTACTCCCTCCAGTGAGTTTCCACGGCTGAGTGGAGAATCCAACCCAGCTCTCCTGAATCCTGCCCCAAAACTATTCCCCACCCCATGTTGGCTCTCAGCAAATATTGATAAATATTAATTTAATTAGAAATTTTAATTCAGAGGTTTGGGCTGAAGAGCGCTCTTTTGGTGATGGACCACCAAAGACAGGTGTCAACTGGGAGGAAAGGGAGGAGACAGAAGTTTGGCCAGACGCTCAAACCTTTACTGAGGACTGCAACTTCCAGAGTGCCCCATCCAGCATGGCTGTTGCATAGTTATGCTAGCTCATAGATCTGAAGAGTTGCTTACATCTTTACAGACAGCTGTCCAGAATGGATGTCAAAGACAAAAGGGTGTCCTTGTTTTGAAGAGCTGAGCCACATCTAGTTTAAAGATAACCACAAGAGTTTGAGACTCCTTTTGCTTAACGTGATCTCTGTAAAGCACCTCTAGCAACCTCTCTTACTCACCTGCATATATGCATGATTGGTTGGCTTAAAGCTCTCATCTACAGGCGATGGGCAGTCCCCCTCACAACGGTAGGCATTATATTTCTTGGGGTGCAGAATCCACTTTCCAAATCCAGTCTTCTCAAAGTCCACCATCATATCAACTCTCCTGCACAGAGATCTACTTTCTTCGGCAATGCCAGATATGTCGGTATCGCTCCCTTTAATCCTCTTTCTTTGATTCCTGTTCCGCCGGTGCCGCCGGGCCCCGACCTCTTTGGACGTGTCATCAGACATGACATATTTGGACGTCTCCACCATCCTGATGAGGCTTGGTCCCTGGGAGGGTTCCATCCGTTCCTTATCTTTAGAGAAGACAACCAGGAGGACTTGTTCTGTCAGGCTCTGAGGTGGGATGTGTGAAGCCTCATTGGAGTCACAGATGTCCTCAAAGCCACTGGTGGGACATCCATCGATTCCTTCCCTGTTGCTGTCATCTAGGTGACCTTCTGTCCATTTCTGCTCCTGAGCCTCTATGGTGTCTTGGCCTGTTGGTCCCCCCTGGTGGAGCCAGAAGCGGAGCAAGGAGGTAATGTTGAAGACTTTCCAGGAAGACTGGATGAAGGAGGAGCTGATCCTGCTGCTGCTGTGGCTGTGGCGGCAGCTGAAGGAGCCCAAGAAGATCTTATCTGTGCACGTCTGGTTCCCATGACATATGTGGTTGTGGACGTGGTAGATGCTGACAGTGACATTTTTGGCTTGGGAGAAAGACGCGAGGGGGACCCGGAGCTCAGCCAGCCTCACGTCCAAGCTGCTGGAAATGGAGGTCATGTCAAAAGAGAAAACCCAGTGATCCTCAAACTGGAAAGAATCTGGAAGGCAGCAGAAAGGCATGGGTGGTTAGGAATGGAGAAAAAAGCAAGGCTTAAAACAGGAAAGGCATCAGTCTTGGATGCCACGATTGCCAGACCGTGCAGTACATTTCATTGACTATTGCACTGTTTGCACACGAAGCTTATTAACAGGCTTATTTGTTACTTAAAACCGCAGGGCTTGTGACAAAGAAAAGGAAACACGCTAGACACGGGTAGCAAGATAAAAGAAGGAAAATACTGGCGATTTCTTCAGGAAAGCCTTTTAGGATAATGCGAAGAAGGAAAATACTGGCGATTTCTTCAGGAGAGCCTTTTAGGATAATGCGCGGGGGGCGGGGAGAGAGGGAGAGAGAGAGAGTCTTCAACTGGATTACAGAAGACCTGAAAACTGCCTTCTTTGGGTACAGGTCTGCCTCTGTCTCATTGAAATGGAGCAGCAATAAATGGGCAGCAAGTTCAGGAAGAAGCAGAAAGAAAGCTTAATGTCCATGCAGACTTACAAAAGGCAAGAGGGGAAATTCATTCAGATGACGATTTGGGAGATGCAGACTTACAAAAGGCAAGAGGGGAAAATTCATTCAGATGACGATTTGCCTCCCCCCCCCCGTCCCATACATGCCAGCCAAAAGCCTCTTCATTATTTATGCTGGCATAAATACACTGGCATGGGTCACAGCTACACCTTGCCACTAGTTAACAAGTTGCTGCTTGCATTCCTCCTTGCTTACCAAGTCAAGCAAACTGGCACACAAGAAGAAATAGAAGCAATGCCTTATTAACTAGCAGCAGCTGGCTGCTGTGGTTGACACCGATGGGATAAGTAAGCCATAGCATTTTGGCCACCAATAAAGAAAACATGCCAGATATGTTGGGGCTGATTTCCAACACTGGCAGGTAAGAGACAAAGATACTGTGGCATTTTGGAATTGCCAAGCTGGAAGGGACCCTATGAATCATCAAGTGGACTCTATCAAGGAGGCACAGTGGGAATTGAACTCCCAACCTCTGGCTCCACAGCCAGACCCCTAAACCACTGAGCTATCATCATCATCATCATCATTCAGCTTCAGTTCCCACCATGCAGAACCTGTAGCAGTGAAAGGCCAACTTGCTTAGATGAAATCCTGCATCTGCAAGGTATTGTCCTGTGTTCCCAAAATATGGGTTATTGGTAGCATGTTCAGCTTTAAGATTTAGCAACAAAAAGCATTCCTCAAGAACAATAAACTGAATTTGTTGCTCGTTTCTGACCTTAACTACAGCCCTGCACATCATACTGCAATCTCCAACTAACCTCCTTGTCTTCATCTACTCCCGATGCCTTCTAGACAGTTATTAACACAACCCATCAGTTGTGTGAACTGGAGACAAATCTCATCTGATTACACTTTATGCAACTTGAACTTATCCACAGTATCTTTGATTGTTCTTTTTCAAGCTTTTGTGCAGATCTTTGGAATGAGCTCTTTGCTAAATGCATCAACATTTCCACTTCTGCTCCTTTGACAAAAGATGTCCAGCAGGGGACTGTATAAAATTATATTTAGTCTTCTAAGACTAAAATGGGCTCCAAGAACAGAAAAAGGGAGAGGAATCACATACAGTTCTAAACCTGATCCACCTTTCAACATGGCAAAGTGACTTTCATTGTCTACAACTCCCAGAAGCACCTAGCCTTTTTAAAGCTCTGATCTAAGTCTTCTGTAAGCCAACCACCTATGATCCTATATCCATACATTGTAAATAAATTTGGTAAAATCCATAATAAATTTGAAAAAGAAATTTCCTAGGTCATTCACAAAGTCCTACTTTGCTGCCTCCCTGTGGTGTGAATTTTAAGTGCCCTGGGCTTGTTCCAAGCCCCAAGATGTCCTGAGCACTCCCATGGACTCTTAAGCAACTACCCGTGAAAGGGAGAGTTTCTGTTCCTGTTCTAGCCATCTTTAAGCTGTCTTGCAAGCCATGTTGGATGGGGATGATGGGGAGCCTCCTCCAGCAGTTCACAAGGACACAACTCTAGGAAGGCTGATGTGTATTAATAATAACGGGCCTTCACTATAACTTGGAATTAACCCATTACATATGAAAACTAGCAGTAATTGATTTTCTCTCTCTCTTATAACTAAAGCACAGCAAGGACACATTACAACAGTATTATAATCAATGATAACTTCACTAATTTTGCAGAGTAAATTGCAAATACAGTAATTCTAGCTCCTTTTATAGACATAGGGGTTCTTTCCTTAGGCGCCCAGCTTTGGAAAAGTTGCTTTTTTTTGGACTACAACTCCCAGATTGACAACTGGGGAGATTTGCGGATTTATAATCCAGGAAAATAAGCTTCCAAACTCTTCCAGATGTGCTTTGTATTGGAAACCGAAGTCTTGTTGCACTGTTAATGTTTTTATATTAAAATGTTGTTTTTGAAGAAGAAAATGACTTTGAAAACTCCGGCAGCCTTTTTGAATGAACAAGAAAGTCCCAGGTAAAAACGGTCGCCCTTTAAAAACGGACACGCTTTATTTGATTCAAGTTAAAGCGCATTCCGCTGGAATCCTTAAAAGCAACGTTAAAGCTACTTATTCTAAAGTTTGTTCCGAGGAGGACCAGACTTCAGAAAAAAACGCCGGCGAATTACAGAGCAGCCGTCCTTATTTAGGGCACAGCCGTCAAGGACCGCAGTCCGTTTCAGCCGAGGAGGCTGAGAAAGAGGGCGGCAGGACCGTTAGATCCAATAAAAATGGGCCGTTTTCGGGGTGCCACCAGACTCCTCGCGGGCTGGCCTGCAACAGAGGGCCAAAGCTAGTATTCCCGAAATTCGGGGAAAGTGCTACCCGCTTCTTTATGGAGTCCGGGCGGCAACGGCGTTAGACGCGCCTCTGCCTCTCCCTTTCGGCCAAAGCTAGTATTCCCGAAATTCGGGGTAAGTGCTACCCGCTTCTTTCTGGAGCCCGGGCGGCAACGGCTTTAGACGCGCCTCTGCCTCTCCCTTCCTTTCGGTTGCTAGACAACCCAGACGGCCCCGGAGCCCCGAAGAACCCGCCGGCCAAGGTGGCTTGACTGCTTTCCCTTCCCGCCCCAGGGGCGTCCCTGGCCTCCCGCCCCGTGCCAAGCGGAGCCCGGGCACCTTCCCTTGCGCGCGCGTGGGGGGGGGAATGTTTCCTTTCCTTGCGGGACCCTCTCCTCGACCCTC